TCCAGGTTCTTTTTTTCTCTACTCTGCTGTCCACATATCAGTTTCTTTTTCTGGCTTGTATCCTGCTTGTGACATGACTGTTAGGGGCAATTAGGTCTACTTGCTTCCTCATTCATGTAGAGCAGGAGAAAAAGAAAAGCTTTTACTAGCCAGGGAGTACAGGGCTCTTCCTTCAGATCCCAACAACTGCTGTGGGAACGCCATGCGCTGCCTGGCTTCGGTCAGGCCTCCTGCAGGATGCCATGGGATTACTGGGAGGCATTCAGACCAGTGGTTCTCAAAACGGGAGTTTTGGACCGGCAGCATTAGTATCTCCTGGGCCTCCAGCGAGACCAACTAAATCAGAAATTCTGAGTGTAGGGCCTGGCAATCTGTTTTCACAAGCCCTTCAGATGATTGTGACGCACAGCAAAGTTTGAGAACCACTGCCTTGGGATAGTGTGGTGAACACCACGAGCAAAACGAGGGTTCTATTAGGCAGGACGGTGTGGGGAACAGACATCTGCCATTGTCTACTAGACCAGATGAGCATCTCAGAGAGAGAGAGGGTCAGCAGAGTTACAGGTGTTTGCAAAAGAGAGATACTAGGGATGGGTCCTGAAATCTGAATTGCATGAGAAGGGAAATGAGGACGCGAAGGAATGATGGCTAGTGGGAAAGGGGGTTAGCAAACTGAAGATCTGGATGAGGTTGGAGAATTGAAATGAGCTGGCAGGATGAAACGTGTGAGGACCATGAGAACGCACTCACAGACCTCCAACTATAGGGAGCATAACTGGCCAAGGGCCCTGTGTTCGCACCAAAACGGCATTTACGATGGGCTGCTCCCAGCTGACAAACGAGCACGGCAAGGATACTAAGGCTGGCCCATTTAGGGGCACACACTCCTTAGATACTGCCTTTGGCTTGGGACCCCACCCCGTGGCTTTGATGAACCTTCCTTAGACTGCACAACAGTCTGAGAATCTTCCACCCAAGCTTCCCTCCTGCTCTCCTTCATTCATTGTTAGACTCGTATCACGCCCAACAGCTCTCTGAGCCTGACCCAACTCCCTCCTATTTTTTCTTCCGTAGGTACTTGCCCTGTTAAAAATCCTTGCATATTTAATTCTATCTTGGCATCTGCTTCTTAGAGGACCTAGACTAACACAGAGGTGATTTTACTTGAGTAGAGTTTGGAAACTGAGATTATGTCTCAGGCACTGTGCTACATGTGGCATCTAACAAATAAATAACATGGTCCCTACCCTGCAGGAGAACCAGTGAGAGATACAGATGCATAACTGATAACTGCAGGACAGCAGAACAAGGGCTGTGATAAGGACTACACTAGGGTGGTCCCAGTCGCCCTGGAGTTGACTTGGGCATCCTTGGAGGTGGAGGGGAAAGATAATGTCACTTTTGGTAGGATGGATACCCCCCCAGCTGAAAACACACCCATTAGTTTAGTGACAGACGTGGGGTGCAGTTGCTAGCCTCCTAGGCTCCCCCACAAACCCCCGGGTAAGCACAGCTCAGCTACTCCACTGAATGAGCACGGCCTCCACAAATGTCGCCAAGACAATTCCCAGCCTTGTTTCCCTTTGCTATGACCACCAGCAGGTGGCTTCATGGGTATGGAGAAGAGTGACAAGTATTTTATAAAGATTTGGTGATGATAATGACAAAGTCCCTGCTTTCTGTCTGCATTTCTCTAATACCTCCCTTAGTGGCTGTCCCCCCACATTGAGTGGTTCTGTGCCTACTGATCTCACCAGGTGGCTGTGAGGGATCCAGAGATAATGCACGTGAGCTACTCTGAAAATGGTAAGCTGCTCTAACCTGCAAGTACTTATATCTCTACTCACTTTGGCTACATACAGCTAAGGAATGAGCCCCATGCCTAACGGGCCCCACACGCCCATAGTGAAAGGAACACAGGCCCCTTTCAGACTCCTCACCTGGACTCCAGGGTCCGTGAATGGACCTTAGGGAGACTGAATCTCCTGGACTTGTGTGTGCACTTTTGCATGTGTTTGTGTGTGTTTGTATGTGTGTGTGTGTGTCTGCTTGCATTTTGAGGGGCATAGAAGGGGGTTGGGTCCATAGCTTTCATTATTACTCAAGAGTTTGTGACCTCAAAAACATGAAGAGTAAGCCACTTCTTTTTAAGAGAAAGATATTCAAACCAAACCTTAGAGAGCAAGGGTCTGTGTTGGGAAGACTTTGCTTTTAAAGCAGACCTGTTGCTGTAGATCTCCACCTTTTGGGTAAAAGGACGGCCCCCGTGGCTTCGTGGGAGTATAAGAAATATTATGGAACTCTGTGGGATAATACTGAAAGGGGGATCACTTATGGAACAAATAGGAATTAATTCTTCTCCTTGATAATGCCTATGTCGTAAGAGGATTTTTACCTCGGTAGAACACTGTCTGGGGAAACTGAGAACTAAAAACGAAAAATCATCAGTTTTGGTTTCCTTTCTTTTTTTGTAGACGGTTCATCTAAGTAGTCCCAGGCGTTTTACATTAATAAGTCAAAGTTTGCATTAGATTGTCATAGGTCCAACGGATAGCTGTTTGAAATTGCCTGACAAACGTAACTGTGCTACAAAAATGCCAACACGATAGTTTTCCAAAGCCCGTCTGTCTGACCTTTTCCCCCGTCACACACTAGAGGGAGCCACACACCACGAAGACGGCTCCCCTCACTGTCCAAGTCCCTGTTGCAACCATCCGCTCTCACGTGGATATTTTGCATTATATGCACAGAGATAAACAAAAACCCGCAAGAGGCACACCTTGTCTGTTTGTCATGGGGGGCCCGGCAGGCCCTTCCGGCTGTCTGTTCAGGTCGGGAGGCTGTCGCCGACCGCAGGAGGATCTTCCCAGCGCGCCACCAGGTATGGCAGGCTGCTCCCGAGCAGGTCTTGACGCCTTTCACCGACTCTTCTTTTTTAGAATGAAAAACCAACCTCAATTCCTTCCTTGACAAGTGACTGAACTAGTAGATTAATAGATGTACTAATAGATTACTGAACACACTAAGGCATTTATGAGGTCTATTAGGATCTTGTCCATGAGAGGAAAATGATGGTGTAGATGGGAGATTGACATCAGTTTATTTTTATTCACAATTTTCTGTCACCTCCTTTATGCGACAGGCTGAATGGTTACATTTGGAGTGTGCTGATGCAGGCTTTGATAATAGCTGGAGGGAGCCCTTTAGAGGCTGGCCTTCAGGTGGTTGGGGTTTTTTTTTCAACTGTGTAAAATTTAAATAAAATTTGCCATTTTAACCATTTTTAAGTTCACAGTTTAATGCATTAAGTAGCTTCACATTGTTGTACAACCATCACCACCATCCACCTCCAGAAGTGTTTCATCCTTCCAAACTGAAACTCTGTACCCATTAAATGGCACCCCATTCCTACTTCTCCCAGGCCCTGCTAACCTCTATTCTACTTTTCATCTTTTGGAATGCGCCTACTTTAGGTACCCATATAAGTGGAATTGAACAACAGTTATCCTTGTGTGTCTGGTTTATTTCACTTTGCATAATGTCCTCAAGGTTCATCCGTGTAGCACATGTCTGAATTTCTTTCCTTTTTAAGGCTGAATAATATTCCATTGTATATATATACACCACATTTTGCTTATCCATTCATCCATTGATGGACACTTGGGTGTTTCCATGTTTTAGCTTTTGTGAATAATGCTGCTATGAACATGGGTGTACAAATGTCTGAGTGCTGCTTTTAGTTCCTTTGGGTGTATATTCGGGAGTGAAAGTGCTGGATCATATGATAATTCTAACTTTAAGTTGTTAAATTCTGAGTTTAACTGCCATATTGTTTTTCACAGCAGGTGCTCCATTTCACATTCTCACCAGCAGTGCACAAGTGTTCCATTTCCTCCACATCTTCACAACACTTGTTGTTTTCCATTTTTTGATGATAGCCATCCTAATGGGTGTGAAATGGTGTCTCATACAGTTTGGACAGGCTCTGATTTGGACTTAGACAGAAGCAAAGTAAGGGTGTTTATCTGGCTTCTTAATCAAAGGAAGGAGAGCATAGCTGATGTGTTATATGACACAGTTAGGAACCCCCAAAAATTGATCACTTAAACCAGGGGCTGGCAAGCTACAGCCCATGGGCCAATCTGGCCTGCTGCCTATTTCTAATAAAGTTTTATTGGAACACAGCCACATCAGTTGTTTACATGTTGCCTATGGCTGCTTTCAGGCTACAAAGGAAGAGCTGATCAGTTGCAGCAGAGATCATATGGACTGCAAATCTTAAAATATTTACTATCTGGCCCTTTGCAGAAAAAGTTTGCTGACTTCGGAGTTACACAAAAGAGAGAATTTTATTTATTTATTTTTGCTGAGGAAGATTCACCCTGAGCTAATATCCGTGCCAACCTTCCTCTATTTTTAGTATGTCAGCCGCCAGCACAGCGTGGCCACTAACAGAGCGGTGTAGACCTGTGCCCAGGTACCGAACCCAGGCAGCCAAAGTGGAACGTGCTGAACTTAACCATTAGGTCACCAGGGCTGGCCCAAAGGAGATAAATTTAACCAGGAAAGCTTTCATCAGTGTAAAATATTTGTACTTGAGGTATAAAAAATCAAATACACAATCAAGACTTGGAGATCCTTGGCTCAGTAAAAAAAGATGTGATTTTTCTTAACAGTAGACTAAATACAACTCAACATCGTGATGAATGAGACTAGCAAAACATTGATTGTAATATAGCCCACATTAACAGGGACAAGCACCTGGAACAGTGCTCCTCAGTCTTGGCTGCACATTAGAATCATCTAAAAGCTTTAAAAAACATTGATGCCGAATTCTCAGGGAAACTGATATAAATGGTTTGGGATCCAGCCTGGGCATCAGGATTTTTCAAAGCTTCCCGTGTGATTCCAACGTGCAGCCCGAATTGAGACATTCCTATTCTGCTGGGCTCAGGCCCAATCACGCCTACGGTTTCAGTTCATGTGCCCAGTTTAAGGGAAATAAAGACAAGCTAGTTCCTATTCAAGGAGGAGTCAGAATTGAGAAAGAACAAGAATTCATTTTTCTAAGAGGAACAATGGAGAAAGTACAAACATGAGGACTCGCAGAGACAGCAGGGAGCTTCTATCTGGCATTCAGCATTTGAGGGCTGCCTCAAGGAAGAGAATTCTTTTTATGGCAGGCCCTGAGGAGAGGAGCTGGGAACAGGAACTAGAAGTTACTAGCTATTGTTATTACTTTTTATACAATAAATTTAAGACAGCACTATCCAAAGTGGGCAGTAGTGAGTGAGTCCTCTTTTGAGGGACATACCGAGGGGTCCCATCCACCAGGTCCCTGGCAGGGATGTTACAGAGCAGATCTGGGAGTGGAAGGGTGACAGTAATAGTTAAAATAACCCAGTCTCAACAGCGAGCGTGACAGGTGCTTTCTGGTACCAGGCATTGTGCTGAGATACTGCATTCCCTCATTCGCGAGTTCACTCCATTCCCGTGGGGAGGGGGCCATTATATTTCCAGTGCATTTTCAAAGAAGCAGGGTCTCCAAGGCTTGTCCAGTGTCACACACACCCAAAAGCACCCTATGGATGGTCTTCCAGCTTGGGCTTCTCCGATTCTAGAACAGGCAATGTGTAAATACAAGGCTGAGTTTTAGCAACAATGAGGCTGTGTTTAAAACAAACCCTCTAGCACTGACCTATGCAGATAAGTGGTATTTGAAAGCTTTATCCTTAGAATCCCAAGTGTCAGAGCTTCCAGGAAGGCGAGAGGTGATCTAATCCACTCTCTCCTTCTTCGATTTACAGATGAAGAAACTGAGGCCCAGAGAGGGTCCCAGGTCTTGTCCTGGGCTCCACATTTAATGTTCAGATCCTCTGACACCAAGAACAGCTTTCTTGCTCCTGCCATTTTATCAAACAGTCCTACCTTTGCTCAAAACACACCGGGAGCTCAGCTCCTCTCAGGGAATTGCTTTCAGAGCCAATTCGGCAGGCACCAGGAGAATCAATCTCTACATTTTATGGATACATTTTGACTTTGATTCAAGACAGCGTTACTGAGCCTCTGCTTTATGCTCCAGACTCAACTCTGAATGACTCATGACTAATTTGCAAGAAGTAAATCAGCCTACAAAGAATGCATATTGCCACCATTGAGGGATTTACAAAGAAAGATCTTTTGTTCCCAAATTGCTGTAAAAGTAATTTCCAAAGAAGGGTTGCTAAAGATATGCTGAGCAATGTCAGCATCACTGATATAGAGCATACCTGCCTGGGAACTCCACTGGAGAGTCCAGCATCCGCCATGGGTGCGTTCTAGTATACTTGCCACAAATTGGCCACGCTGGCCGCCACGCAAGAGAGCAGCTGCCCTCTGGGAAGAGGCTGCCGAGCTGGGGTGACATTTCTCAGCACCCCACTTTTATCCACTACCCTAGACCTCGCATCTAGGCCTTCAAATTGAACAGAGGGGATGTGTGTCACTTCTGGGTAAAGGTGACTAGGAGAAAGGTGTGCCTCCTTTCCTCTGGCTCATTTCCCATCATGCAGCTGAGTGTAAATGACTCCCACACCCCAGGGGAGGGTGGAGCCACGAGAGAGAGCCTGAGACAGAACCAGTTTTATACTTTTTTTAAAAATCTTTTTATCATTATTATTATTCCCCAGTTTTAAACTTTATCAGAACAAGAAATAAACTTTTGGGGCCGGCCCCGTGGCTGAGTGCTTAAGTTTGTGCGCTCTGCTGAGGCAGCCCACTGTTTCGTCAGTTTGAATCCTGGGCACGGACATGGCACCACTCATCAAGCCACGTTGAGGCGGCATCCCACATGCCACAACTAGAAGGACCCACAACTAAGAGTATACAACTATGTACCGGGGGGGCTTTGGGGAGAAAAAGGAAAAAAAATCTTTAATAAAATAAGAACACATCAACTTTTATCTGTTAAGCAGTTAAAATATGGAGATTATCTGTTATAGCAGCTAGCACAAGCCTAATATAGTCCCCAACTCAGATTTCACCAAAATGTGAACAGTTTATGACAGTGCCTGGTACATTCTAGGCACTCAATAAATGTGTGTTGGGTGAATGAATACATGAATCTAAAGTATGTGATTGACAGTATACAGGCACATCTTGGAGACATCACAGGTTCAGTTCCAGACAACCACAATAAAGCAAGTCCCATGAAGTTTTTTGTTTCCTAGTGCATATAAAAGCTATGTTTACACTATGTTGTAGTCTATTAAGTGTGCAATAGTATTGTGTCTAAAAAAACAACGTACATACCTTAGTTAAAAAATACTTTGTTGCTAAAAAATGCTAACCAGCATCTGAGCCTTCGGTAAGTCGTAATCTTTTTGCTGTGGAAGGTCTTCTGTAAAATGCAATACCTGCAAAGCGCCGTAAAGCAAGATATGCCTGTACTTTGTCAAAAAGAAGTCAGGGAATGCTAGTAAATAACTTTTAGGATGCGGAGGGTGTTTTAATACATGCTGAGCACTGGTTCTCCAGCTGCGCGTGGGAGTAAGTGAGGGAAATGGGTTGTAGCTGGCACAGAGAAAGAGACAGCCACACGGTGGAATGGATTTGTGAGTCAAATGAGATCATTTTCATGCAAGGAGAGGTCTGAGAATAGGCTAAGGAGCCTTTCCTATTAGGTGAGTTGAAGCTTCTTGCCTGGCTCATGTGGACACACTGTCGCTGCCTGGAAATGCTGCCTCCTGGAACTCCAGAGCTGGAGTCGGCAGAGTACTGGAATAGGCCTTCATTTCACTGACAAGGAAGCCACAGCCCAGGGAAGCGGACAACGCACCCAGGATCCCTCGGCTGTCAGCAGGCACACAACCCGAGGCAGGATAGTGTGGATTAAGGGTGAGGATAATACAACTCAAATGTCCGGATTTGCATCCTAGATCCTTGCAAATTACTAAACTTGCTCATGCCTCTGTTTCCTCATCTTTAAAATAGGGACAATTAGAATAGTTCCTACCTCATGGGGTTGACATGAAGATTAAACGAGTTAATGTATTTAAAGTACCCGGGGACCTGGTGCATTGCAAGTTCTAGGAAACTGTTGGCGGTTGTTGTATTGTTACTGTTGAATTCAGATGGCCCTTTCCCTCTTCAGGGTTCTTAGGCCTTCAGAATGAAAATGTTAAACACCATGGAAAATGGAGAACCTTAATGAAGCAGAGGATGCCAGGGAGTTCTTACAGCAGGTTCTCAGAACACACAGCCTGAGAAACCAAAAACTTGTAGAACAAAGTGCATGAATTGATCGTTGGCCCCAGCGGAGTAATTCGTTAAAGGAACGGAGAATTCAGGCTTACTCATGTCTCAGGAATGCTCTAATGAGAGTGTACATACACTGTTCTTCTTCAGGGTATAAAAAGAAAGAAAATGCAGTGAGTGTGAAATTTATCCTAAATGAGAGAGAGAATGTAATGTGAGAAGCAGACCAGGAAAGGAGCATGATCAAATATTGCTTTTCTCTGGTTTTCATGGTAAGATTCAGAAGACAGTGACTGTTAGGGATTTCATAGTGCAAAGGCGTTTTTCAGGCTTTGGAAATCACAGAATGCCAAGCTTTTACAGAACTGCCTAGAATCTGCCTAGTGCTTCATTGAACAAAGTACATACATATCCTTTCATCAAGTTCCCCTGGCCCCACCTTCATTCCAGGCCGGAATTCCTTAATATATCCATGGCAGATGGTTGTCGGCTTCTGCTTGGAGCTCAGTGATGGGAGCCCTAGGGAGCCACTAGGCCGCCCACTCGTCACCAGGCAGCTGTAACTGTTACAGAATTCTTCTCTGGACTGAGCCAACAATCTGCCTCCCTGGAATGTTGGCCCATTGTTCCTACATTTATCTTCTGGTGTGAAACATAATAAATTTCTTTGCTTTCTCCCTCTTGACGGTGATAGAATGGAGTTAGACCTTCCCGGATGGAACGCTGGCCTTGACATTAACTTAGCTATTGGACCTCAAATAAGTTGCTTAAGCTCTCATTGCTTTGATTTATTTATCTTTAAAGAGGAGCATTGAATTTTCAGAAGGTTCTTGTGAAGGTTAAAGCAAGTAAGTATCATGTACATAAAGCTCGGAGGATAGAGCCTGGAACCAGGTATTTATCCTATGGGTGGCAGTTATAATTATCACGACTTGGGTTCAGCTCTTGGGACCCCCAAAGTCTTCTCTAAGTTAAATATCTCCATTTCCTCCAGCTGTTCTTACCTGGCCTGTGGTCAGCTCCCACCCCATTTGGGTTGCCTCTCCTTGAATGCTCACCTACAGGCTTCACTTCTCCCTCCTTTGGCCCCAGCTTCATTGGTCCTCATCCTGGAGAGACCCACAGTAAAGAGGGACTCAAGCAAGAAGTGATGCAGCTGGCTCCTGAAGTCGGAATAAGAGGATCTTAACTTTGGGGGCTGGGCCATTCTGGTGAGAGGAGGCCTTTGGGGGTGCCCCAAGAGGAAGTCAAGGTCAAGGCCTAGAGCCCAGAGGTGGCTGCTCCAGGCTTGTAGTGTATGGAGGGAGAGACAGCTAAAGGGGGAAGTTCAAGCTTTTCTCCCAGAATGTTCAAGTCTTCTCCAAGGAGGAAGAAGCCACGTTTCAATGGAGATATTCTGTCCTCCAACAAGAGATTGTGACATTGGAAGGTATTTCCTCTATCTTGTGTCCCTTGAGACTCTGAGCTCAGTTAATGGGGTGCAAAAGGGCCTCTTTTACTAAACTGTGTCTATTTTCCACCCTTGATCTGGGCATAACAGTGTCATGAAATCAACCTAAATCTGTGGCCCCCTTTTGCAGCCACACACTATGATGATGTTACTCATTGGCTGAGCTTGTGGTGAACTGAAACTTTTGCATTTTTTTCAGGAGAACCACTTTTTTTTAAAGATCTGATTTTTCCTTTTTCTCCCCAAAGCCCCCCGGTACATAGTTGTATATTTTTGGTTGTGGGTTCTTCTGATTGTGCTATGTGGGACGCCATCTCAGCATGGCTTGATGAGCGGTGCCATGTCCGCGCCCAGGATCTGAACCGGCAAAACCTTGGGCAGCTGAAACGGAGCGTGCGAACTTAACCACTCCGTCATGGGGCCGGCCCCCAGGAGAAACACTTTGTAATAAGTTTTCTCTGTCCTGAACATGTATAGAGGTTTTCGAAATAAAATGAGGAAATTTCTAAGAGCCTAGCACGGTGCCTAGCCATTGTAAGCACTAAATAAATGACTGTGCGTTATTAGTAATATTAGCATTATCCTTTAGGTTTACTTTTCCTGATTTCAGCAATCTAGCTGGTTGAGGTTGAGTACTAAATCTGTTACATCTGTACACACACACGTACATGCACACACACACACACACACAAAGATATATACAGCCTCCCAGCCTCAAGCTAGGCACATGTTTGACCAGTGTGCTCTGAGTCTGTTCCGGAAATTAACGTAACAGTAGAATCTGATAGAGCCTGGTATGCAGCGTGTGCACCCTTTGGAAAGAATTCTGCCACTCCTCTTTGCTCTTCTTATCCAGAAATATATCCCTCACCAATGTCCACAATTTTACAAGGAGAAAATTTTTCCACTGCTGTTAGCATTGTCCTCTCTGTTATTTAAATTTGCACTGCAAATATCTGTGAAGGAACCAGATATTAACCCCCTAAAACCTTAGACTGAGTTAGTCAGTGAGCCTGATTCTCCAGGGCGGCAGAGAGAAGGCAGAAGCAGAAGGAGGTTAAAAGACGGAGCGGTGAAGAATGGGGTGAACAGTACAGCACAAACTTCACTTACGTTCCACACATGTCTTGGGGGCTACACAGAGAGAGTGTAGTGGGTTGAACGGTGGCCCCCACAAAGGATATAGCTGTATCCTGATCCTTGGAAGTTGTGGGTGTGACCTTATTTGGAAAAAGGGTCTTTGCAGATGTAAAAAAGTTAAGGATCCTGAGATGAGATCATCTTGGATTATCCAGGTGGGCCCTAAATCCAATGGCAAGCACCCTTATAAGAGACAGGCAGAGGGAGATTTGTGCCATGAGAGGAGAAGGCCATGGAGAGACATAGGCAGAGGTTGGAGGGACACGGTTAAGGAAGCCAAGGGATGCCAGAAGCTGGAGGAGGCAAAGAAGGGTTTTCCCAGAGAACTTTCAGAGGACGTGTAGCCCTGACAACACCTTGATTTCACACTTCTGGCCTCCAGAACTGCAAGGCAATACATTTTTTTTGTTTTCGGTCACCAAGTTTGTGCTAATTTGTCACAGCAGCCACAGGAAACTAATACACAGGGTATTCTCCCTCCCTGGGGAACTCCTTCCCGAGCCTGAAGGACCTCCCCTAGAGAAGAAGTGAACCACCAGCTCTCTGACAGTCTTGCAAACATGAGGAAATAGGATGTGAGGCTTAATATGAAGTGGAAAAACTTGAACAGGTGATTAAGGAATTAATCTGTCACAAGTCAGATGATAATATCTCTGTGAGTAAGAGGCCTCCCGAGTTCATAACTGTCGAGGAGGCCTGACAGGCTCTGGGGAGTCACTGACGGTTCTGGCCTGAGGGGAAGCGCCATCTTGAATCCCAGTGAGGCAGGAAGGCGGTCACGGCTGGAAGGCGCACGTGACTGGGAGTCATCCAGGGGCTGGGACTTTCCTGTCTGCTAGAAAGAGACATTTATCTTCTCTGGCCCTTAGCTTCCTGAAATGGAAAAAATAAATGATGTTCCAGCTCTAAGAATCCTGCTGTGGGATAATTTATTCACGGCTGTGACACATGTAACTGTTTTGTTTTTTTTTTAATAAAATCCTCAGTGTGGTTTTTTTAGGGCCATAAAGATGCACAGACAACTCAAAGGAGCTGTTGTTTGAGTCTGCATGTGATCGTTGCTTTGTGTTAGGATGGTGTGGGCTATGCTGTGGTAACAGACAAGCCCCAAATCTCAGTAGCTTAAAACAATAACGATTGTTACGGGCTGAATTGTGTGTCCCCCAAAATTCCTACGCTGGAGTCCTAACTCCCAGTACCTCAGAATGCGATCATATTTGGTGACAGGTTCTTTAACAGGTAATTAAATTGAAATGACGTCATGAGATGGGCTCTAATCCAACGTTTCTGGTGTTCTTATAAGAACAGACGGTTTACACAGAAGGAAGACGATATGAAAACAAAGAGAGATGATGGTCATCTACAAGCCGAGGAGAGAAGCTGGGAACAAATTCTTCCCTCACAGCCCTCAGAAGCCACCAACGTGGCTGATACTTTGCTCTCAGACTTCTGACCTCCAGAACTGTGAGAAAATCAACCACTGGTGTTTAACCCATCCACTCCGTTGTTACAACGGCCCCAGCAGACTCACACAAAGGTTTATTTCTTGCTCATGCTTACTATCCGTTGGAGACAGGCAAGAAGGCTTTGCTACTGATGGTGACTCAGGAACCCAGGCTGATGGGGCAGCCACCACCTTGAATGTTGCCAGTTGTTGCGCAAGAAAGAAAGAGAGCTCAGGAGGGTCTCACGCTGGTAATTAAATGCTCTGGTGCAGAAAAGCACACGTTACTTCTGCTCACGGCTCATTGACCAGAATGAGTCACATGGCCCCATTCAACCACAAGAAGGGTAGGAAATACAGTCGTGTGTATGTTGGGGAGGTGGTCTTACGGGTCCTGGCCCAAATGTGAAAACATGCCTGCCATGTCTGAAGAGCTACTCAGGACCCTCAGAGTGGGTATGTGTGTTCAGTTTACAAATTCCTCCAAAGAACACTAAAATACTCAGAGCCTATATTGCCCATAAATAACTTCTAAAATGTTTCTCAAACCAGCATCCAAGTCCCCTGAGTTCTCTATGAGAAATCAAGCGTTTCCATTTTGATGATAGCCTATAAAAAATAATATGAACACAATTTATTTCATCCAGATTAAGAGTCATCAAACTTTTCACGTAAAGGGCCAGATCGTAAATATTTTAGGCTTTTTGGCCCATGTGGTTTCTATTGCAACTACGTAACTCAGCCCCGTAGTGCAAAAGCAGCCATAGACAATACGTAGATGACGTAAATGAATGGTGTGGCTGTGCTCATGATCTGTAGTAACAAAATCAGGCAGCAGGCTGGATTGGCCCACAGGTCACAGTTTGTCAATCCTTGATCTACGTCATTTTAGTGCCAGAATGTGCAATTGCATTTTTAATCTGTTGTAGCCTGATGGAGTCCAAATGACGTAAAGCTTTGATGGGTAAATGAACGTTTCTCAGTGGTTCCAAGAGAGAAACTTGGTGGAGGAAGGGAGTCATGACAGGGTGCCCAGTATAATCCTCGTGCCAGATTAGAGAGGCCTATGTTGTGGTAGGTGGCACTGCCTCCAATGACAGTATCCTGGAGGGAGTAAGACAGTAGCCTCTGGAACCAGGCTTGCCCAGGTTCGAATCCCAGCTCTGTCCCTTGCTCTGTGTCTGACGTTGGCCAAGTTACCTAACCTTTCTGTGTCTCAGTTCCCCCTCATCTGTAAGCTGAGACTGGCAGAAGTACCTGCTTTGAAGGGTCATTGAAGGCTTCGTTAAGTTGATCCCCCCAAAGCATTTAGAACACCGTCTGGCACTTACTAATTACTAGCAACCATAATAATCACAGGTGAAGATGTTCCTACTTCTTTATGCTAACAGTTCAAATGTCCGAACAGTTCATTAGGAGTAACTGTGGTAGTACCCAGGCAAAGAAAAAATTTATCTGTTCTTAGTACCAGAAATCAATGGAGTAGCTCCCCATCCAGTTTAATAGTTCAATAATTCAAGTTTAATAATTCAAGCTGGCTAGCCTTATCTTCGGGTGGACAAGACAGTTTTACAGAATAATCAGGTGACCCATGACTAAAGGCATTTGAATTCTGCTTGCAAGAAGACTTGGTATAAGTATGAGGTCTTATAGCCTAAACTAGCAAAGTCTTGAACGTATTTATACAATTCTTTATAATACACTTAATCATTAGTGTTATTGAGCTTAAAACATGGAAAAAGCTTAAATATAGAACCAGACTTCAAGCTCTATCTTTCTACAATTAACTCCAATGAAAGTAATTTAATTGTAGCACCATATCATTTGATGCATGAAATTGTGTTGCTAATTTGAATTTGATCACTTTTATAGCTTTAAAAAATTGTAAATAAGTGCATTTTGGTTTTATAGTTTGCATGCAGTTTATATAAGAGCTAAAAGCAAAAGGAGATTTCATGTAAATTTGCGTTTGTACAGACTCAAGTCTATTTATCCCCAACTAGAATGAGGGATAGAGATTTTTGTCGTTTTGGGCCATTGTCTTTTCTCAGATTCCTAGAACAGGACTATGTTCTAGATGCTTAATAGATGCCTAAGAAATACTTGCTAAATTGTGATGAATCAGCATTATAATACAAATAATTAAGGTTGACATTGGATATCTGTGAAATATTAGTTTGTTCAAAAGAACATCTTTAAATAATTTCTCTGAAATAGTAATTACTGAAGTGGGAGAGACTCTGCTGAACTGTGTCACTGAGTCTTCGGTGTAATTGCCTGGAGCTGTGTGTCGATCCTGGCCCTCTCTCTTGCCCTGCAGCAGAAATCTATGTTCGTCCGGACTCTGGGATAATAAGCAACAAAACACAAC